AATAGCTGAAAGACAAATGCACTGTTGCGAGAGAACTCAAAGAAACCCAAGAAGCAAGTAGCAGGGAAAACAAGCTGGAAATGTAGTTGTGCAGGGCTGAAAAAAATTTTTCAGTCTGGCAAACCCAATCCTCCTTAAATGAAGAGAAACAGTATAGTCCAAATGAGCAACCAACAGAGATCTGGGGCCTTTAGTACAGCAGTTTTAGACAGAGTGGGAGAAATTACCTAAGGATGAATGGGTCTAGCACGAACATGAGCTTTAATCGTATAAGCAATTAATCAAAGTTTTTTAGTGGCATTCCTAAAAAACATATCATATTAATTTTAAGTCTATCAGAATATTCCTAAATTATAACCCAACACCATATAAAAGCAACTATTATAAAAATGCAAGCGTTTGAACACAGAAAGATGGTGTCAACAATAAAAGATACCCATATAATTGATTGTTAACCATGGCTTCAGGGAATATCTTTTAACCTACAGCATTACAATTGCTACAAATAAGCAGAGAACCTCCCAGTTTTGGGTAGGCCCCCTCCTCCTTTCCCCAAAATAAATAATAATAAAAACAAAATAAACCAAAACCCAACACATATTACTAAATCCAGTAAGTACCAGGTCTGTTAAATTACCCTAAGTCAGCATATCCCTTTGATATGTAGCAGTATAGAAGCTCTAGAAGACAGTTTCTAAGGTTATTTCATTGCACATAACTTATTCAACATCTCCAACACAAGAATATAAGATTTCTTACCTGGATTTCTAATCACATGTGTATTCACATTGCTGCTAATATTCTGGTCATTGTGTTGCTAAAAGAGACAAATATGGAAACTCTATGTTAAAATCCAAAGTTACACCTGAAGACTTCAAAAATATCTCCCCATAAATGGCTAGTTTATTATGAACACATAAATGGATCTCACAATTATTCTTTTCCTAGCAATCCATTTAAATGTTATGCTAATAGAACAGTTATAGTAATTAAAATGTATAATTTTATATTTAGAGAAATATATTTTTTTATATTTAGAGAAAACTTGGAAAGGTTACCTGAGATTCTTGGCGTTTTTTGATTGCATGTTTATACAGTTTGTGCAGCTTTCTGGCATCAAATTCCGTAAACTTAGAGACAAATATCCACAAATTCCTGAGGAAGAAGAAAGGCATGATACACTCTTCCGTATGTCAGCTTATTCTGATATCATGCAACAGAACATGGACTTAAATGACATTTCAGCAGTACTTTGGTACACTAAAATCAATAGACTCACTACATAGCGTTTTATCTATTTGCATAGCAAACATTACCTAGCTGCATTTCAAACATTAGAAAAAAATAATTCCTTTACCAATTTATCACTTTGTGATAGATTTCAGAGTGCAAATAAATGCATGAATAAATTTATTTATAACAATTCTTTTAATAGCACGATTTGCAAAAACACCTAAAAAGACTACTGAATAACGTCTTTTCCAAACCTGAAATATTTTGCAGTTTAAGACATTTAAACTACGTGCCTCATTTCCTAAAGATATCAGAGAGAAGAACTGCCCTCTCCCCAGAATTTCATGGCCTGGTCAAAGCTTTGGAAACCCAAATGAGAAATCTGAAAAGGTGGAAGGATCATGCCCAAAAATTCAACACTAATCTAGGGAACCTATGCTACAAAGCAAGAAGAACAAATCAGCTCTTGCTGTTGAGAAGCCAAAACCCTAAAGAAAAAAGTCTGCATTACTTCTGCAGTCATGATACCAGATCTCAAGTCTAGAATTCTTTTAGTCAAATTTAATCAACAGTGGGAATGTTTAAAAGTGACTACAGAATATTACTGTTCAACTTAGCACTTAGTTTAGTGACATTTTAAGTGGGTATGGTCAACAAGCATCAATGTGCTCTTTTGCTGTGATGATTTAAATACTAGAGTTGTGGCTTAGGAGTTCTGCAAAAGTAGCTACCACCAGTCAAGGATGCGTCTAATGACATCTGTATAACTTCACTGAATGCAGCGCTACTACACTATATATGTTAAGACAGTTGAAATACGTATTTTAATAATCTGTATATGGTACACAATCTGCATAAGGTGGTAGTAGTATTACAAATTATTATTATAGTAGCTCTATTATGAATTTCCATTAAAAGAAATAAAACTTATACAAAAAGGCCTTTGAGACACGGATTTTATATTTCACTTCACCCTAATATTTCAAAGTAAGTAAAAATGGAAACATACTATGCTGATAACTGTCTGCGAGGAAGTTAAATACTTAACTGAATGTTTTATACAGAATTCAGGATGTTTTCAAACAAAGGTTTTAAGCTCACATTATAATAAAACCAACTCCAATTATATTAGCAACCCAAAAAGGGAATATAGCAAATTTACAGAAGATTTTGTTGCTTAATAATTAAGTTACCATCTCATAAAGATGCATAAAACAGTTAAAAACCTCTTTTGTTTTCGAAAGTCATCTCTCATTACATGTTATGGTAACTGCTTTTATGAAGTCATTGCTAATGGGATTTAATTCTAGAGTTTATAAAAAGAATGAGGGATTTTGTAACTCAAAATCATACAAATTTCAAAACCCAAGTTTAGAATGGCCCATTTTTAGCATGAATAAAATTCCCTCAAAGTTAAAAAAGTAGATTCTTTAAGGATAAGAACTGTTTTCCACTATTTAAATAGTTTTCTTTTAGTTGCAAGAAGTGAGATGACTCCATCTACTGGACAAAATGCATTGCTCTAGCAGTATAAATAAAGAGAATTCATTAAAAAACAGCCATTTATAATCATCTTTTATAGGTCCTTATTTAAAACAGCAGAAATGTACACAACATGGAAAATAAAAACAAATAATTTAAAAAGATTCTGTTTAACAGAACAATTGTGGATTTTATTTTTTTGAGTAAAATCTCACAGAATAACTTACTTCCTCCACTGTTTAATCTGTTCAGGATTTGTGTACTCCTTGAGACATTCAGTAATGTGATCCCCAATTTTGATTAGGCACTGTCTAGTATGTTCCAGCTGTTCCCTTTCAGAAAGGCCTTTCTCTGGTCTATCCAGCTGCTTCAATGCTGCTTTGACAGGCCTCATTCTTTCTTTGCACTGTAAAAATGGAAAAAAAGGAATACATTTACTCAAAGAAAAAAAAAAAAGAATTTAAAACATGACCCACCCTTAGTGTGATATTTATACAGGCAAAGACAGTACCGTTTTAAGCCAAATTAAACACAAGGCTTCACTCACAGCTCTTTAAATTTAGTTTTACTACAGGTTTCCATTGGAAAAAGTAGTATTTTAAATCCAGCTGAAAATCTACTCCTACATAAAAGCATTAGATAATATGCGAAGATATAGAAGATTTTAGTAGTAACCTAAAAGACTTTCTTGGGGGGAAAAAAAAACTTATTACAACTGGATTTTACATTTATGTTTATAACTTCCAGCACAAGTATATGACAGGACTTATTTTACTTTTTAGGATCTTGAAAGCTATACAAACTTGGTGTCAAGATTAAATATGAGAACATTTAATATGTTTTTAAATAAATACTTTAAGTAACAATTAAACTTGGCAATCAATTAAATTCCTCTTCAAGGAGTTTCAACCCAAGTTCTACACAGATACAACCAAGCTCATTAATGGTAACATAATCCAGTTAGCACGTTTTAAGTTATAAAACACTTGGCAATACTATCCAATCCCAATGGCAAGGTGAAATGCATACTGCCTCAGCAACCTACAGCAATAATTTCCATCTGAAAAAGTAGCTAAGATGCTAATTAGAGTACATCTGACCGTGACCAATACACAAACCCAAACTACAATTGCTACCTGTAAGAGAAAAAGGGGACAATTAGGGACCACTCAGGAGAAGGAAAAAAAAAAAATCACTAAAGCTGTTCCACTGTCATTAGGTGATCAAGGAACCACATTAGATACTGCACTAGCCACAGATTAAAGCAGCCTTTAAAACACAATTGACAGGAGGCTTAACCAAAAGGGAAACAGGAAGGGAAAAAAAAAAAAAAAACACAGAAAACTAAAAGTTTGCCATTCACTGCCAACACAAGAGACCCAGTAAGCCTGCTTGGCAGTAACAAGACACTTGCTGAAACCCGGATAGACCAATCAGCAGAAAAGTAGATGCTCGAAGCAACTCCTTGGCATCTTCCCAAATGCCCCAACTGACCTTTGAAAATCTGCACAGACTGAGCTTACCTACCTTCTTCAAATATTGATTCTGTTCTATTCAGCAATACTAACTTAACTGATATTCTTTCAGTATCAGATAGATTACACTGGCAAGATATTTCTAAGGGCTTTAGAATTTGCTTCTTTCTGTGTCTAATAGCGAGTTTTAAATTCAGGGGAAACTGCAACTGTGTTCAGGTTCATTAATTTCTGTCCTTTAAGAAGCAGTATACAAATGAATTATTCCTTAGGATAGATATTCAGTGCAATAAACTGCACATACTGCAATAAATAACCAAACTGCTGGCCAGAGAACAAACCTGAGTATCGCATCCATAACCCTTCACTGATATGAAACTTCACTGGCTTTACTGTGGAGGCCCGCTTCAAGGACAGTAGTACAGGATGCCTCATTAGTAGATAACCGGCTTCAAGGATGGCAGTGCCGGTGTTCTATCAGCAGACAAGGAGTAAAAGCAACTGTATGGCTGCTGCGTGACCAAGAAGCTGGTTGGATAGTCTTAGTATAAGCCTTTAGATTACTGGTTTATTCAGTAATGGTGCTTCGCATTCCTTTAGATAAATAAGGTATATACTGTACTGTTCCAGACATAATAAGTTTGATCTGATACTTTATTAAGTGACTTTGGTGTTTGATTTGGGACTTTGGTCTTTGATTCAATATACTGGGGTTCGTTCCTTTGCAAATTGCAACACTTTACTAACATGCCTAATGGCAGAACAAAGAACATCAGAAATTGCGTCCACTTAGCGTATCAAGTGCAAACACTAAGTTATCAATAAGGGTCTTACCACACTGAATGTCTTCTGATCAAGTTCTTCAGATTCCTCAGATATAGGAACTGGCTGGCTACTTGCTGTAATATGAACCGGAGTATCTGACAATGGAACTTTTTTAGTTTTTTCTTTATTTTCAGATTTGGTTTCATTTGCCTACAAAAAATGAAAATTAATCCAATAAGCCAACTCTGGTTTTGGTTTGGAATTATTCTGTAAATAAGCAATTATCATAATTACTGCATTCTCTTCACTAATAGCAAGAAAAAATGCCTAATATTCAATGCTAGTTTATCTTCTGTCTAACACATGGAAAAAGAGAATGTAAAACAGAAATTTCTTAGGACACTTGCAGTCCCACTAAATTATGAATCTTCAAAGGTAATTTCCTATTTTATATACCTGTTCTTGCAGTTGCAAGTGGTAAAAGTAAAATTTCAAATTACAAAAAAAATTTCAGTGAAATGACAACTGATCAATAAATGATTGAACTCAACTCAAAATCATTCACAAAATCCTGATGGCTTTCTAGTGCTACGTAAGATAAGTAAACCTAGTTACCTTCTCTTCCTTTACTTCTTTTTCTTTCTGTGTGGATTCTTTTACTTTGTTTTCTCTCTTTTCTTTAATATCTTTTTCTTTTAATTCTTTCTTATCCTCTTTTTTCTCCCTTTTCCTTTTCAAATCCCTCTTATTCTCCTTTTCTTTTGTCTCTCTTTTTTCTTCAGCTTCCTTCTTTATACCAATATCTGGCTCAGGCTTTTCTTCATTTTCTTTTTCTGCTTTTATTTTTTTAAGTGGACGTTTCACTGAAACAATCTCATCCTGCAATACACAAGCATATGTGTCACATCAAACTGAGCACCTAGCTATACAGTTTTGTAACCATCGGATTAAAACATCCTTTTTAATCTGTATATAACTTCTTTAGATTTAACACCTATCAAGTAGAGCTGGAGGCAACTGCAAAGAAAAACCAGGACCACTCACTCATCCCCTTGATGTGACATAAATCAAGCACTGATTGGGCAGCAGTAACAAGGGTGACAGGTGAAGTCATTTTAACTTTCATAACTCCAAGGATATCTGCCCCTGTAAAAGGTAGTTAAGCTGTAAAGATCTAAAAAAAATGCAGAAACAGACATGAGTGAACTGCACTGATTGGTCAGGGCACTCGAGCGATGGTGGTGACTGAAGACCTCTGTTCTAGTTTGCTTTGTTCCAGTAACTCTCCACTGATCACACATTAAACATTCACAAGGAACAAAGTTTCAACCTCCTCTTGTCCAGGTGTAAGGGAAAAAGAAAAAACTGTCACAAATATATCTGAAATGCATCCTGGTAGAACATATAGAGAACCCTGGCTTCCAGAAAAGCAAGTGAAAATACCCAACACATGGACCCCAAAGTGCCTAGATTAGGTAGCCAGCATCAAGTCCAACCTTCAGTATTTAGGGGAAATTGCCCAACAAAAAAAGAGGAAAATTTTCCTACATATTCTATAGCAAGTCAGTGTCACTTAGATCCAGAAATAGGATTTAACAATCTATCCCAGTTTTCAGAAAGGCAGTTATGTACGCAAAAGTGCATGAAATGATGAACATTCATTAGTAAAGATACAAAAGGAAACAGAATTCCAGGTTCTTTCCCCAAATGCAGGTCAATTGACAGACTGACAGTATCATCTGTTTCAGGTGGAGATTGGTGCCCAATGCACATTTTAAGTAGATTAAAGACTTAATTTACCTAATTTTATGATTCAGTTGTCCTTACTTATTGCCCTTGCAGTTTAGTTGCATGTTCCAGACAAATTATTGCATGGAAATATTAACAAGTCTACATTCATTTTTTTTCCTGCTTTATGTTTTATTTTTCATAGTGTAATTTAAATGTATTAGGGAACACTTCACTTAAGACTGATGACTATAGAAGTGTATCATGATTCTTTTCAGTCTCACTCAGTTTTAACTGTATATTTGAATAAACATTTTTCCCCTTACAGAAAAGGTTGATTATTATTATCTTAACACACATTTTCAATGACTTGTAATAGTTTAAAAGGGTTAGGTAAAACATTTACTTCAATTCAGTTTATTTTCAATTGGAAGGAAGGATTTTAGTGGTACACACACACACACACACACACCTATTTTAATTGCCTTTGAAGTCACAGAATTAGGTTCAGCGTGTTGCTAAACTTTAACCAAGTTTTTTTTTTTTTTTCTCTTTAGCTGTTTTGCTGCAAGATAAATGTTAAAGCCAGAAAACCTATTAAATCCCAACAAAAGCAGAACACACAGTCCTGAAAGAATACATCAGTAATAAAGAGTAACAATATTAAGAGGTCTGTTGGAAGAATGAAAGCCATGACATATACAGGGCCTTTCACTTTTAAGCATCAGAACATCATTTATTCATGCTGTTATTTCTAATTAAACAACTTTTTTGAACTAAGCCTGAACAATAACAACAAAAAAAATCTACCTGAAGAATCTGTATAAACAGTACTAACATTTGCCAGAAAGTTTTAAATTCAGATGTTACATTAGATTGATACTTCTGGCAGATACAAGGCTGAAGTCATGAAGAATCTTGACATTGCACAATGACACTTGTGATCAGACTATAACATTATTCTATGATATTATAATTTGGAAACCTAATGATGATGCCTCAGCTACAAGTCTATCATTAAATTAATATAGATACAATCTTCCATGTGACTGTACCTATATAATATTAACAATAACTTTACAGCAAAAACTGAATAGCCATCTTTTACCTTATTATCCTCGTCATCGTCATCATATTTTTCTGAAGGTGGTGAAGAGGAGTCACTTTTTATTTCTTCTTTTACTTTCACAGCCTTTAGCACTTTGTTCTTCTTAGTTCTTGCTTTCCTCCTCTTTGAATTGCCCTGAGTGCAATAAGTATCTTTACTACTTCAACTAACAAGTATTTCTGCACAACAGTTAAAGAAAAAGATCTGTTTCTACATTAAATAAGGGGTTGCTCTTATTCGTTGCCACTAATGGCTCAATTTTTCTCAGGAACTGAAACAAAACGATAGTAAAAAGTACATACAAGAAAGACGGAATAAAACAATAGTAAACTTGCAATTCATTACTTGAGTTAGTTTCATGTAATAGGATTAGAAATATAGAGAAAAACTGCACCAAGAATGAGCAGAAGGAAAGAAAAAAAAAAGGGGGGGGGGGGAAAATGGGGGGATCACTAACATGCTCATAAGCATATTATTTTAATCTCACTATGGCATGTCAAAATACTTACCACCCCAGCAAGTCTTTGTGCTTCCTTTCTTGCAAGGTCTTTATTCAGTAATTTAATAAGGTAGTCTGCACGGGTCTGTAATTGCTTGGCCTGGGGTTTCTTATCTGGATCATCAGGCAAAATCTGAGAGGAACAACTTTATTATCAACCAGGTGCAGAAATCATCAAGTTTGTGAGCTACTAGCTTGGAACATGAGGAAAAGAAAAAGCTGCAAAAGAGATTGGTTAATAAAAAAAAAAAACCCACTCCAACTATATCTGGCATACATGCCAGCAAAAAATAGATTCTTAAGCATTTAGACAGTTTGGAAAACTGTCTTGAGTTATCAAAAAACTCAAGAAACTAGCCTCAGATTTCTGTTTCTAACCTTGCAGTTATATCACTAAGTTTGCTTCACATGAGTCTATCCCTACACATCTGTTATTCAATACTGTTGAGCAGCTACTGTGCTACTTCTGGTCTGGTGAGTATGGCCATTCTCAGGCTGTAAGTGAAAAACAGTTTCAGATGAATGAAATGGGCATTAAGTTGGGGGGGGGGGGAACCACACACAACCAACACACCACAGAACAGCCTCTCTTCCGAAAGCTCAAGAAGAAAGTGAGCACAACTAGGGCATCTAAAACGGGAAAACAAAAGATTAGAAAGAAAAACTTCACATGACAAAAGTCATGACAAGGAAATATGAAAACATAATAAACTGTGAGAAGACATACTTTAACAGAATACACAAGACCTTGAAGTCTAATTATCTACCACAAGAAGGGTACGAAGGAAAATACAAGTTGAAATACAACTTCTGTGCCATTTAAGCTACGATTAAATATGCTCTTCCATTGACTGTTTAGTCAACGCATGTGACTTGTCAGTATTATTACCTAAACAGAAAAGTTCCTTATGACAGAAAATTTTGTAGATTACATACCTTCTGTGTCAAGCTGAGATCAGGATCCATTTTTATCATTTCCCAGCTGCCATAACCATATTCATAGATGCCTATTAACAGATTGGAATCATCTTCCTTACCCCAATCTATATCAAAATGAGCTGCCTTGGTGTAGCATGGGACAACGTATCTAATGGAGGTAAGTTAGAAAAATAAGTGATCTTTACCTCAGAAACTTAGCAAGAGAGTGGGGAATGTACTATGAGTGGAAAAAGTAAACATTGCTACATCACTAGGAGGCTGATATATTTAGGAAAGTAATTCAGTTATCTACCATCAGACTTCCTTACAATTTCTTTAGAACATTTACAGAAATCAGTATTATAGCATGTTTAAAGCAGGTCAGAATTAAGATACAATGGCCATGAAATGAGTCATAAAGTTGGTCAGCCATGAAGAAAAGGTTAAAATACTACCCAAGTGTAACCACCAACTGAACCTGCAGATAGTTTGGGTAGTATGATACACAGGGTGGCAAGCTCAAAAAGTTCAGCGTGAGGATGGAAACAGTTACCAATAAGGGCTGTCTGCTCCACTGTGACAGATACCGCTTTGCCTCAGGCAGATAGCACACTGGGCAGCTCCACAAGCCTGATTAGCCTGGAGTACGAAGGTTAACTGAACCCAATGCACAATGAATACAGTTCAGAAACAAAAGCAGGTACAGTCTACTATGGAAAGGCAAGAAAGAGCAAAGACACAGAGCAGACTTGCCGCTAGTCCTTTACGGGGAATGGAGACACACTGGTGTCACAGTATGCTTAGTCCGGATTGATAAAAATATATGCAAAAAAAAAAAAAATCTAATAATTTTCTCCATTATGGCTCCCTTTAGAAAAAAATACCTCTTCCTTTCTTCTGGATCTGCAGGAATGGATTTATGCAATGGTGCCAACTCTTCTTCGTGAGAGATGACCAGCTTTGCGTTTACTTGCACTCCTGATATTCGGAATGTTGGGCCTTTAACTTTCCCAAGTCTACCTCCTTAAAAGAAAACACCAAAGTATTTAGGCTATATGTGTACCTTACAAACAAAATGTAAAGAAAACAGGGAAGGCTGTTGCTGTAGCAGCACACCTTCACTTTTATCAAGTTGTATTTTTCTTAACCAAACACTCCAGCTAAACTTCAGAATCTCAAGGCCTTCCATAGAATATCAGATTAATCTTAAATTTCATGGTAAAGCAAAAACATTTTGCATTCTCCTATGACAACTAACCCAAGGAATGGGAGATAAACTCTTCTTATTATAAACCCTTTTTTAATAGCCTAGCACAATGACATTTATTACTATAATTTATATTTTCCCCAAACTCAATCGTTTTCTCTTACAATCAGAGTACAAGAAAAACTTTAAGCTTCTTTATACTTTTTATTCCTCTTTTCCACACCCAAGGACATCGTACCTGCTCTTTCTGGTCCAGAATTGTCCTTTAAAGCCTTAATGCATCCATTATGAACAAGCTCCCCCAGGCACCTAAGGTCTGTCTCAGATTTATCAACCAGCTCAGCATCTCTAGCTATAGCATCTAACCTGTAATAAAATAGACATGTATTTTTTTACAGCTCTAAAACTTCACTAATTTGTGAATAACTCCTTCAAAATTTGAATCGAGAGGTGATCCTGTAAGCTAACCACAGCTGCTATGCTGTGTGCGATTTTTATCCATGTTAACAGCTATGGAAAAGTACACAAAACTACAAAGAAAAATAAATGAGTAAATAAAAAGACAATAAAGAACTGATCCAGATATCAGAGGACAATTCAGCAATAACAAGAACTACACAACCTTGAGTTATTTTACTGGGTATTTCTTAAAAAAGAAAAGGAACTATAATGTGATCATATAGACTATTAATATTTTTAAGGAAATTAAGAATTTATTCTCAAAAAATGGACAAATACAAAAAATGTAAAAATAAGAACTGACAACAAGAAAACTGTCAAAAGTAGTTTTGCCTTTATGATGGATAAAATCATAGGCCTTTAACAGCCTATCAAATAAGACGTCTAAGTGATTATCACTAATGCAGATTAAACAAAACAACATAAGACCAAGTAGTCCTGCAAAACGCACTGGCTGTCTACACACATGCCATATATGAAGAAAATGAAGACACTAAATTCACGTTATGGTTAAGACAACAGATTAGGTATTCCATTTTCTCTTCAACTTAAGTTTTCTAGATGTATTGTTCTAATTTTATGAAAACAAGGTTCCAAGTTGCTAAACTATCAGCAAGTTTACCTTTCAAGGGGGCCACCGAATTTCTTGTAACTCTTGATAAACCTAGTAACAGAAAATAATTTTACAGTTTAAATACATGCTTAACTAACCAAACCATTTTAAAACTGTAGCAATACATTTTTATTACAACACTATACAGAAAGTGAAAACTACAGAGAAGCTACAGCCTAGTATATCATGATTCTCCACATTTAAAAACAGCTTTATTTGGTTTAAAAAACAATGGAAAAAAAAGATGGTACATTTTATTTCAGAAATTATTATTTACATGAGACAAAAGATTCGGGAACTAGATGTATCTAGTCATAAGAATCAAATGTGGATTTACACTAAATAGGCGTAACATAACATCCAAATTCTCTCATATAATGAGGAGGAGATAGCTGCAACTTCAGCCAGATGGTTTTACAATTTAATATAACATGAAGGATAAAGGAATATTACTGCCCTCAGGAAAAAAATGTGGAAGAATGGAAAGAAACTGCAAATATTCAGGACACAGAGAGGGAATGAAATAAAAAAAAGGAATTTTCCTCAACAAACAAGAATCCAAGTTACTAATGCAAGCATAAAAATAACCTTGTCAAAAGGTGCAATCTGTTATGTTAGATAAAATGAAAAGTGAACAAGGATCTTGTAAAGTTGTTTCTATAATCTAAAATATTTTAAAGATTACAAAATTATAGAGAAACTTGAATACTTCAAATTAAAAAAAAAAAAAAAAGCATTTCAAAAGCCCATAAAGGTAAAACAAAAACAATTCCTCTTCCTCCTTCCACCAAAATAAACAAAAACCACCAAATACTGAGAGGATCAGCTATACAGATTTATTAATGAAAAGTTTTTTTTTTTTTTAAGGAAAAAAAAAAACTTTTAAAACACATCTATATCACATTATTTCAATTACAGTGTCAAAAAATGTAAAACAAAACCCACTCAACCTTTTGTGGGTACCACGACAAAGATGTGCATGCTTTCTTCAATTACAGTTGATACTAATGAGAAAGAGTATCTGGGGAAGCATGAGGGGTTTACCCACTGTAAAATCTGTTTTTTTGAAACCACTCTCTTCTAGGAATACATACTTGAACAATCAAGAATATTTTTCCAACCAAATTTTTTTTAATCCCTCACCAAAATGAGTTCAACCTCTGGACAGTCCTTTATGCCAGCACTGCAAAGTACACAAGGTAAAACCTCAAGTGCATTGAACAAAAATTTTCAACTAAATTCAGAAAAAAAATAAACTGTCTGTATTTACTAACTTGAATACAATTTTAAACAATTTTGTTCAGTCCCATTAAACATGCACGTTCCTCCCCAATCTTACCGTCTAATCTCTGCATCACTAAATCCTTTAATATTCTCTCGAGGAATAGTTCGTGGTCTTCCACGTTTTTTGGGATGTTTTCTTTCTGAGATGGAGTCGCTATCAGACCCAGAATATCTTCTGTTCCTACTGCGCCTTCCTTCACTGCCATTAAAGCTGATCTGTAATTGCAGAGGAAGTAGTTCAAAGTGACATTCAAAAATGCATTAGGGGGGGAGGAGGAGGAGGAGGAGGAGAAAAAAGAAGCCATCAAAAACACACAAGCCAGAACAGCACCACAACAAAAATGAAAGTCAGTAAGAAGGAAGAAATAACCTGTTTTGCACAATTTCTCATCCTTGGGAGCATATATATTTCTTCAAGTTCTTTTTGTCTCTCTTCCTCTTCTATTCTTTGCCGCTGGACTTCTGGAATGATTTCTTCCCAATTTCTTAGATTTCGCTCTGGTTCTAATTCTATGTCATCTTCATCCATATTGGAAAAATTGGCCACCTTACATATCAGAACAAATTCACTAAGTCAAATGAGAGTCAGCAACTAAATTTTAGGAAAGCTTAGCTCACGATGTGACATTTTACACAGATACATACATGCTGAAAGAAATGTATATATACATATATAATTTATAAATACAAAATGCTTAATGAAACACTGTCTCTGATGAAAACTTTTTTTTATA